TGTATGTATATTATTGATAAATATATATGTAGTTGGTTTAATTATTGGTAATATATTTATTTAATACAATATTAAATTAATTAATTTATAATTAACACCCGATCTATGAATTTAAAAATTAACTCCCTTTTTTACGAAATTTAGTCTTTAAATGTAGATTTTTAGGTTATTTTCCCCATACAAATCTTGGGGGAATGGCGATCCAATTATCGTCTTCAGGCTTAGGCCCAGACTGAAGACAAATTAAGTGGCCCAAAGTTCACAACATCAGCCCAAACGTGGACCATTATAATTGCTACTGAACTAAGAAAATGCGAATTCATTGCATCTGCTGCTCAATAGCAACTCCAGCCTGTATTTGCACGTGGATTGTTGGATCAACAACTATTTGAGGGAAATTCGGTGTCCTAATCCCAGATTTCATTCTTCCTCTTCTTCTGCACTTTCTCTGTCTATCTGTGAGCTTAAGAAGTTTTCTTTTCTTTGTGAAATCTCACTTAGAACTTTCTGTGATGGAGTCTTGTGTCCAGATATGGGGCTTGACTCTCTGAGACTAGGGTTCAATATTCTGAATCCTTGACGTTTGATGCAACACAATTTTTTTACCATATGATTGATAAAAACCAAGGTAAATGTGTTTTCGAACAACTTATAATGTTAGCGTCTCACATGAAATCCTGTCAACCGAACCGAACATAAATAATAACTTAATGAACAACGATGAGCACATATGCTGAATTTACAGAGGAAACAATAGAGAAATAAAGCACATATAACAAGAGGATGATCAGATGGCTTATAGTATTGCTGATTGAATAGATCAAGTCTTTGAAACTCCTGAATGCAGATTGTTAAATATGGAGAATGCTGAATTCATAATGGTGAAGCCTCCATCAACAAGAAGATTATGTCCACTCACATACTTTGACTCATCACTTGCCAAGAAAAGAGCAGCTTCAGCCACATCTTCTGACTCAAGAACAACACCTTTGAGGTGGGAATACACATTACAGCATTCCTCATCGTTCAATTTGAAGAAATCCTTAGCCAGAGGTGTAGCAACAAGGTGTGGTGACACACAGTTTACACGTATGCCATATTTTCCAAGTTCGACTGCGATATTTCTCGTTAGTCCTACGACCCCGTGTTTTGAACTTGTGTACACATGTGAAGCACAACCTCCTATGGAAGAACAGACACTGGCAGTCGTGATTATGCTCCCATGGCTATTGGGGATCATCACCCGGGCAGCATGTTTAGCACCCAAGAACACACCTAGGAGGCTTACACTAATGATCTTTTCAAATTCTGATTTTTCGCAGTCAAGACTACTTTGTTTCTTTATCCCTGCTATACCAGCATTATTGTACATTATATCCAGCTTGCCATATTTCGCTACAGCTGTGTCAACTGCGGTTTCTATATCGGATTCTTTAGTTACATCACAGTGGACAAAAGAAGCTGATGATTGTCCCAAATCTTTGCATACTTCCTCTCCCAAGTCATCTTGGATGTCTGCAATCAACACTTTTGCTCCGTGTTTGGAGAATAGTCGGGCAGTGGACTCGCCAATTCCGCTAGCAGCACCGGTTATTAGTGCTACCTTTCCTTCAAGTCTAATCACATACAATATGTTAGTATAACATTTTTACTTGTCTCGTAAGTTGATTGCAAGACAATAGAGAGTATTAATTCTAGACAGTATTATAGAAGATAAACAAGCTAAAAAATTTGTCCATTTTACAGTCCAGTGCAGGGTACTTATTTGCCTCGATACAATATGAAAAACCAAAATTATCATAGTGCACAAATATTTTGGATAGGGAATGTAACGACCTGATCTCTATGTCCAAACCGTTAATTTACGTACTGTCAACTTTGGAAGAG